AGCTCTTTTGTGACTCGTGGACTTCAACTCCCAGAATTCTTGAGTTAGCTATGCACTATACCCACTATACCCATCTTTTAAGGAAATCCAAGAAAACTCTACTGTCTGTAGACTTTTTAGTTAGAGAGAGAAAGGAGAAGAGAGAGAGAGAGAAAAAAAAAAACTGGTAAAGAGTTTGGGTGGACCAGTAACAATATTTTTTTTGTCTCAGTTAAATTATTATTAATTATTTAAATATATTTGGGGGGTTGAGCATTGGACTTAGGGAAAGCTAACTTTTTCAGTGGGAATGACTATTTTAGTCCCAAATGCTAATATCCTGTTCTGTCAGATTTCTGCAGGCTGGGAAGCGAATGGCAAAAACAGATTAAGATAAAATAGCTCCTAATTTTAAATACAATTCTTTATATGTTCAGTCCATGCTTACATACATATTAAATGCTACTTTGAGACATGCATCTTCTTTTGCTTGTTAATTTTGGACACCAATCAAAAGTGTGTTGACAGTTCCATTGGGTTTGTTAATACCAATACTAATTTCTGAGCAGGCACATTTTGAGACCTATGTTATTAAAAAGAAAAAATCCCTGCAATCCTGTGCAAGGCAAATGTTCAAAGCTCTAATCTGAATATTGTTTTTCTTTCCTTCCTTTTACTTAGAAAAAAAATGGCAGAATGACAGCAAGATGAAATAAATAGAAGTTCTAAATAGGGAAATCTGACTATCCTCAAGACATTTGAATCCCTCCTTTACATTCCAAAATAGCCTTTCTATTAGAATCAGTAATGATTCTTCAGACTGCCATTGAAAATATGTAAAATTGGAAAGGAAAAAAAATGTTCAACAAAAATACAATTAAGAATTATTCACCCATGCAATATAAGTGAATGAGCAAATATGGGGAATTACAAAACTGATGATCTAAAAATCATTGAAGCTTGCTATTTGGCAATCTCACTGTGGTAAAAGAGGGGAAAAAATCAGTCACAAGAGAAAAGGCAACATAAAACAAGTTTCAACCAGCCTACCAAAGAATAGGGAATTAATGAAGAAAATCCAATGAATGCTGCCAAGTCAGAAATGGCCACGTTTATATCGACAATAGAACAGCATGAACATTCAGCACTACTTATATAATATTTGTTTTCACATTATTCCATTTCTGGTCACAATTTAAAGTTTTTAACTTTTAAACTACTTTCTGTCTTAAAATGGAGCTATCTGGATGACCATGCTCTTATTTTTAAGGCTATTAACTACTGGTGTTTTTTAAAGTCCAAGGTCTTAGGAAGAGCTGAGTCATACTTTCACACAACTTTAAAAATGGGCTAGACTTGCCATTGTCTCTAGCATATATCACAGGGATGGAAACAAGATATCCAGAAAGAGCATCACTCCAAAAAGATATATCAGCAGCCCAGAAAGAAGTTCCGATATAGGATGTGCCTTCATAGTGGCTGTGCATGCCTTCCGGAAGAGCTGTTCTTCAAAAACTCCATATAGCTTCAACCCTATGTGCTGTCTCAAGTATTTCAACAGAATGAGTTACAATTCATTCCTTGTAGGATTCATACAATTAGATTCTTACAGGATTTTGCTGTGTTGTTTCCCCATTGTGTTGTTGCATTATTTTGTTTATTTCTATTATGTTGTTACTGATCCTAGCCGCCTAGAATTGATTTCTTTATAAACTAAAAATAAAACAGGCACATGCAACAGGAATAAAGTCAATTAGACCATTGTTGTATTTGTTGCATTGTTGTGGTTGTTATGTCCCAATACCAAATACAGAAAAGGAAGGAAAGGATGCTGAACCAAATATCCCTCAATACTACATGATAATGTAATCTAGGGACTTTTCATTCAATGTATTCTCAGTATGAATAATATGATGGGTAGGATCTTTTTCTATTTCAGGAAAACACACACCAACATACACACTTTATAAATTATTAATTAAATATGTGTGGTTGCATCTTCCTTGACAAGACACTTTTCCTCATGAGGTACATCACATTACCTTGATGTACTTTATACAATGTGGAAAGACATGCTTCAAATATTAGAGTAGAATTTTATGAAATAACAACATTTAATATCAAGCTCACATGGTGACTTTTTAGACTTGTACCAGAACTGCTTTGGAAGATGTTGAAAATCTCTTAATTCCAACATCAAAACATGTGATTTGTGTCTCACTATTTCCCAGATTATCATTTCATTATTTCATCTATTCAAAAATTCCAATTTCTCTATATAGTTTGTGATGAGAATTGTTAGATAATATTTGCTGTTTTCTTTGTTGATTTAAAAAAAGTATTCTGTGGATTATATCTATTCTCTTCAAAGAATTAAAAATTGGCCTCAATACTTTCTTCTTTGTAATAAAAAAATCCTTTGATAGTTGTACTGACCTTGTTGTGATTTATATTTTACTCTATGATAATAATATGAATGCTTGTGGATTTTTAGGAAAGTCACTTTTTTTCTGAAACACACACAAAAAATCTACTATTATTTGTACCATGTAGGATGAATGGCAAATATTAATTTATTTGTTTTGTTTTTTTAATTCCACCTTTATTATTTTATAAATAATTAAAGGCAGCAAATATACTTTTTCCTCCTCCAAATTCCCTATAACAAAAAGCTTGTGAAGTCAGGTGGACTGAGAGAGTGACTGGGGCAAAGTGAACCAGCTGGCTTTCATATCTAAAGTGGGACTAAAACTCACAGTCTCCAGTTTCTATCTTACTGATTAACCATTAGACCAAGCTGGCTCCAAATAGATCAAACATGTACCAAGCAGAACAAAGAAGGAAATAAAGAGAGAAGAGAAACAGTGCTTAAACTTGTGAACAAATGCAAATTATATCTGCCCATGTCTTTGAGGAAGACCTTGTCTAGATATGGCTTGGACTATTAATGAGTCACTACGATTCACAAATAATAGCTTATGAAATATTTAGTATGTTACTTTAAATGACCTGATCATGGCATATTCATTTTAGCAGAAACAGACCTTTCTGTGAATTAGGAGATTTAAAGAAAAAGGGCCACCCACTCTTTACCTGATTTCATTTATCAACATGTTCTCTATTTCAGAAGTTTGAAGTAATATCAAATCCATTCTCAATCAATAAATGAATCAGTAAACCATTGGATCTTGCCAAAAATTACACAATCAGTTGATTAATATCCAAGTTGAAATGGTGAAGGTAGAGCAGTACATAATGTCACTAGAAGGCAAAATGATGAAACTGTGTCTCACTTACTTTGGCCATGTCATGTGGGGGAATTCATGGAGAAAATAAAAAAGTTAGTGGTAAAAGGAATCCAGGCTGTCAAAGAACATGGTGGTTGGACACTATCAAAGCTGACACCAGCCAGAGCATAGAAAAACTCAAAAAAGTAGTACAACATCAGAAGATGTGGAGAGACCTGGTCCATAGAATCACCAAGAATCAGACAACACCGAATAGATATCATCGTCATCGTCATCATCATCATCACTACCATCATCATCACTATCATCATAGAATAGAAGCACAGAAGAACAGTTACATGTGTGTTAACTGATATGAAATATCCTTCCTTCCTTCCTTCTTCTCACTCCCATCTTTGAGTAGTTGATTAGGGAAGCCAAAATTAAATGTAAATAATATATATAAAGGAACTTAGTATAAACACCCTTTACAGGAAGGAGTTGCTTTAAAAAGAGATGGAAAATAACTTGCATAATATATAAAATAATAATGCTATTTGAAGCCACAGTACTGCAGGCTTGAACTCTTCAAATATGTGTTTTGGGCTATTATGTAACAGGAGGCAATCTCAATGAGAATGTCATAAAATTTTGTATAGAGATAATGAGTAACTTTCTAAAAAGACCCATCAAAACCGAAATACAATAATATTTAATATCTAATTTATTGTAACTATTATTACTATGAAGTATTATCACATTGCATACTTATTATTATTTGTTACTTAATAATATAAATATTTTAGTTTGAGATAGTTTTTTGATGTTTTTTGATATTTGTATGGTGGAACTTACCTTTTAGTTTAAAGTCATCTGATTAATATTTTCAGTTAATTAAGTTCAAAAAGAGCCTTAAATTGTTTTCTTATGAGATACAATATAGTTTTTCCTATATCGGCACCAAAGACAAGTGATTCCAGACTTCTTTTATGTTACAACTGATCAAAACTGCAATGGCATGACTTCTTTTTAATGTTACTTGCATCTGCAAGTTTTATTTCCTTCTAATTATTATGAGTTTTTCCATCTCTGCTTATGTGCTGAAAGTATATTCTGCAGAGATCTAATGTGTGGAATATCTTTCTAATAGAAAATGGGGTGGGGAGAGAATTAAAAAAAGAGAAGGAAGGAAGGAAGGAAGGAAGGGAGGGAGGGAGGAATAAAGGAAGGAAGGAAGGAAGGAAGGAAGGAAGGAAGGAAGGAAGGAAGGAAGGAAGGAAGGAAGGAAGGAAGGAAGGAAGGAAAGGATGGAGGGAGGGAGGGAGGGAGGAAGATACACATTTGTTAATATTAGGGAAGGTGCTCTTGGCACTCTGTATCTTAGCCTTGCCAACTGCAGTTCTCAGCCCTCTTCCCTCCAGGCAAAACTAGTTAATTTAACTCCTGTTTGCCAAAACTTTGCCCCCTCAGAATAAAATATGTTTTCCCACCCTAAGCAACAGTCCTTTCCTTCCATATAGTGAAACATATTTTAACAATTTTTAGCAGCTTGATTTTAGCCTCAGCCTATGTGAGCATGCCTAAATTTGAACTCCAATTGCATTAAACACCCCTCTCCACATGATAGGAAATAACTTTTCTTTTTTCCAGAAAAGCTTAAAAATCCCCTCCCCCCATCAAAATGAATAGTTCAGAAGAGGTTGTCTGATCAATATCTGAGTAACAAGAAAGACATTCCAGAGCATAGAGACACCCATAAGTTCTCAGTGAGAGACTTCTAGGAGTGGAGCAGGATGACTTTGCCTGGATCCCTTTAAGGCTTCTCTGGCAGCTGAAGAACAGCACAGCATATCCTCACTGCTCTTGTCTACAGAGTGATGTGATGCTCTGGTAGGGGGCTTTGCCTTCCTTTCACCACAGGCACATTCACTTAAGCCGTGAGGGAAGCAGCACAGTTGTCTTGTCAGCTACCACTTTGCTAATGCCTGCAGAATAAAACTGGAGTCACAATTAGAGAGGGTGAGAAAAGATAAGAAAGAAAAATATGCTCTTTGGCATATCCTTGCACGGGTCTTTCTGTAAATGCAGAAGGCATAGCATCAGCAGCAGCCTTTGGAAAGAACTGACCAGAACCCTTTCCATTAGAGAAGGGGACTCTGAATATTTCACCTCCAACCTGGGCAGGAAGTTCTTGGACTTGGTTTGCACCTGGAAGTGCTAAGCACCTACCTCTGATTTATCTAAGGATAGCCTCCACACTTATACTTGGATCAAGGAAGTTTCTCACCAGGCAGGTAAGAGATGACAAAATGTGTGCTCCCCATTTCATGTGGATTTTTTTTCAAGCTAAGCCTTTCTCTTAACCTGATATTAAATTACTGAATCCTTATTCCTGCTTTTGTTGTCCCTGGAAACTCAGATACTCAGACTCTGACTTTGGATATTCTAAGTTCGTTTTCCCAAAGATGCTTTTTCACGAGGCTGAGAATTTGACTGAGAATCTCCATAGACATCTAAGTTTGTTTGTTTCTTGATAATTCTGCTCCTATGTGAAAGTATTAACATCTAGCCCTATTGCTGTCTCTGCAAAGTTTGTGAAGTTTTTTTTTCAGTCATCTCATTTGCATCTCCGTGTGTATCAATGCCCATAAATTGTGTTTCATTGCTTACATGTAGACGAAAGACCCATTAACATAATAATTTTAAAGGCCATTGAATGTTCCATATCTGATATCTTTAAATAACTATTGGAGAACATTTTAATACTATTTATTTTATTGTCTTCAATTCATATAGGCTTCAGTTTGTAGAAATATAAACTTGAAAATAATCTTTGTTTTCTTTATTTAAAGCAGTGTAATTTTACTTAGATATATGCTGTGCTATACCAACATAGATTTTTCTGATTATGGTACCCTTTTTTTGATTCAACCCAAGGTCATGAAGAGGTGCTGTGCTGATTTCTCTCTCTCTCCCTTATCTTGGTCACCATTGCCCATTAAAATATGATTTTAAAAAATAGAGTATATACAGCAGTTCTCCTGTCTTCTTTCTTTGCGAATCATTTTTTTTCTCTACTATACAATCATAACTGAACTTTCTAAGTCTAGCTGTGTGCTCTCTTGAAAATAATTGTATATTTTATGATTCTATTTTGTCTCATTCCAAAGAACTGTTATTGAAAATATTCTTCTTTATCAACCCATATTATTTTGCAATGATAAGATGAGATGAGATGAGATGAGATGAGATGAGATGAGATAAGATAAGATAAGATAAGATAAGATAAGATAAGATAAGATAACCTTTATTGTCATTTTTTTACTGTGGACATAATGGCACACATAAAAAATGAAATTTAGTTGCCCGCTCTCAAAGTGAAACACATACATGACACACACCTAAACATACTATGAACAACATATGTATAGACCCACATCCCTACATATACATAGCAAATAAATATTAAATACTGTCCATCTTGAATATATAACGGAAGGAGGAAGCTTGAGAATTCACAAGGTTAATGCTGTATGGAATGAAACTGTGGCTGAATCTGGATGTTCTGCTACAGATACCATGAAGCCTCCTCCAGAACGTAACAAGGAAAACAGGTCATGAAGAGGATGCGTAGTATCCCAGATAATCTTACAGACCCTGCTCAAGCAATGCTTCTGTGCTATGTCCTGGATGGGAGGGAGGGAACTAACAATGATCTTTTCGGCCATCCTCACCATTCTCTGCACTGCCTTCCTGTCTGAAGCAGTGATGCTTCCAAACCAAACTGTGATGCTATATGACAGGATGCTCTTGATCGTCCCCCTGTAGAAAGTGGTCAGGACCGGGGAAGGAAGATGTGCTTTTCTCATGCAATGAAGAAAATGCAGGCGCTGCTGTGCCTGCTTCCCCAGTTTCTCACTGTTGAGCAACCAAGTCAGCCTATTCATTAGCTACATACCCAGGAATTTGATGTCGGTAACCATCTCCACAGGTGAATCATTAATGCACAGAGAAGTGTGGTTGTGCCTGCCTTTTCCAAAATCAACAATGATCTCTTTGGTTTTTCCGGTATTTAAAACTAGGCTGTTTTCCTTACACCAGTTCACCAGCCCCTCAACCTCCTTGCGGTAAGCTTCCACCTGAATAAGGCCCACTACTGTTGTATCATCTGCAAACTTCACAATATAGCACAACAGTCATGGGTCAACAGGGTGAACAGCAGCGGACTTAAGATGCAGCCCTGAGGAGAACCTGTGCTCAGAAAAATGGTATTAGAGATATTTGTTCCAACTCACACATATTGGGGCCTGCTGGTAAGAAAATCAAGTTGCACAAAGTTGGAAGGAAAGTTTCTTTCTGAGATTGAATAAAAATTGGGATTTTTGTGCTTTCATTGGGAAAAAAATATTTTCAGTTAAATAGTTGATATGAAAATGAGGAGGAAGACTACATTAAAATAAGATATTATATACTGTACATTTAAACTTTACCCATATTAGAAATGTATAGATAGATTCTGGTGATACTTTTACCTGCTTCCATGCATATGTTGCTTATTTCTATGTTGGTACCATAAATTTTGATTTAATCAATATTGTTTCTTTTTATCTTCTTGGAATTTGGGTACTTAATTTGGAATCAAGTTACTCTAAATTGATTTAATTAATGATGATGGATAGTTGGACCGTTTTAGCATTATCTTATGATTTTTATATGAAACCAATTTGGACAAATTTGCAGTATTTAAGAGACACTAGACTCCACAGTTGTCCCATATGCAGAAAATCAAACTTGCTTCCTGCATCATTTTTACCAAGTTTATATATCACTTATATATTTTTAAACATAAAACTAAGTTTTTTTTTTGTTTTTTTAAAAAAGAGTGTAATCTTAATGTTGGTATTCAAATAACTGCCATTGTCATTCTGCAGCGGTTGTAAATTTCCAGTACCTGGAAATTCTATTCTTATAGGTTTGAGTTGTCCAAATAACTTTCAACTATACAAGCAAATGAACATAGGTTGCTATAGGAACACTGATTGGAAGAAAAATTCCTAAAGAAATGGTTTTGCAGGTTGAAGTTTCAACAAAGATGCAGAAAAATTCAGGTTTCTATAAGCCATTAAGTTATTTGTGGGATGAGGAAATAAGGAAGAAGATATGGTTTACAAGGGTAGAAGAATATGAAGAGGTATAGAGAATGTTTTGGTAAAAAGTAGATTTAACTAAATTTCCCTCCTTTTAATTATTTTGTGTCTAAATTCCTATGCACTGCTTATGATTAACACTAATTTTGCTTTGAGAAGGAATAGTATAATATGTACGAAATGTAGTCCAATAATTTTCATCTCTCTTCCAATAGAATCATAGCAACTTCTGTGGCCCAAAATTCAGAAGATATGCTTTTTACAAAAAATGACCTGAAGTTCTGTAAAGATGATTTCACAGATCAGGACCTCATCATATGGGAAAAGTCAGACATGCAGTTGAATAATTTACAATATTTTATAACTGTTTTACTTCTCAAAAAGGAACTAATATCAATATTTGTCAAGCTCTTGTGCCTTCTGTTGTCCTCCATTTCCAGGGTTATATAATAGTGAAGACAGCATATTTACATAGTGACAAGATTCACATGTCATGCAAAGCTAAGTTTGTTTCATTCATAGCAGTTTAACTAAACCATGACTGGATTTATACAACAATTCTGAATGATGTACAAAGCCATATAATAATCTGGGTGGCTTCACCAGTTGGCCTTCTGGTAAATGGGTGTTTTATTAGGTCCACTCCAGAAACCATTTTGTATATAGTCCAGCTTCCTAATAACAGCAATTTTGTGGAAGGACATAGCTTATGTCCAAAACTAAATATATGCTAATCCTAATCCCCATGGTGGGAGATCATTGATTCAGAATACAAAACACAGAATACAGAGTTGGAAGGGACTTGGAGGTTTTCTAATCCAATCTCCTGCTCAAGCTGGAAACCTATACCATTTTAGACAAATGGCTCTCCAGTCTCTTCTTAAAAGCCTCCAGTGTTGGAGCACACACAACTTCTTTAGGCAACCTGTTTCATTGGTAAATTATTCTTACTGTCAGGTAATTTCTTCTTAGTTCTAGGTTTCTTCTCTCTTTGTTCAGTTTCCATCCATTGTTTCTTGTCTTGCCTTTGTATTTTGCCCCCTCTTCTTTGTGGCAGCCCCTCAAATATTGGAACACTCCTATTATGTCACCCATAGAACTTCTTTTCACTAGACTAGACTTACCCAATCCCTGCAACTGTTCTTCATATGTTTTAACTTTAACTTCCCAATCATCTTTGCCAGTCTTCTCTGCATTCTTTTTAGAGTCTCAATGTCTTTTTTTTACATCATGGTGACCAAAACTAGATACAGTATTCTAGGTGTGGCCTTATCAAGGCTTTATAAAGTGGTAGTATCACTTCTTATGATCTTGATTATCACTTTCTTAATTCAGCCTAGTATTGCATTGGCTTTTTTGGTAGTTGCAGCAAAAAACCAGTTGCTGGTTCATATTTGATTGTCCACTAGGACTCCAAGATCCCTCTCACAGTTACTGCTGTTGAGCCATGTTTCACATAATCTGTATGTGAAATAATCTTGCCCTACTTTTTTCTATGTTGATTTCTACATTCATTTTTTTAGGTAGTTAAATTACTTTGTTAAATAAATTAAAATTAGTGTTTTATATACTTAATACAATCATTTTGTTAAATGGTCAAACTAACTAAATTTAGTTTGATTCAACAGAATGATACTGAACTCATCAAACAATGTTCTCTTAGCTGGATAAATGGCAGATGAATGCTTTTTATTTCTTGCCTCCCCTCTCTACTTTTTTTTATCAAGGTAGGAAGAAACAGGCTTCTGTTATTTTACCAGCTGTTCTTTCATTTCTAAAGCACAAGTTAGATCAGACATGTGATGTATCATGCGACGTATCAGAGATTTTTTTCCCCATTGCCAGCAATGGGGTGGGCGTGGTTTCTTCATGATGCATCTGGCCTGTGAGCCAGTAGAATGGACATTCTATTTAACTCTTTCCAGGGAAAAGGAATATATAAAGATATTAGCTGTAAAGCCTTAAACACAGCAAATATATATATTTATTTAAAGATCTTCCATTCAATTTCTTTTCTCAAGTGGGGATGGGAGATCGATGGTCTTGGACTTAGCTATGACAAACTGTCAAAGAAAGTTTTTTTTTTGTTATTCTTTGTAAATATCATGCTTCACTCTTTCCCCTTTTTCAGCCAGAAATTTGGTTGC